CAGCTGTTGCAGAGAGTGAGGATGCTTGAAAAGAGCAGTGCAGTGTCCTAATTACCTATGGCAAGGAAAACATCTGCGTGGGAAAAGTAATGAAATTAATTCTAATGTCTAGCAGTTGCATACATTAATTGACATTAATTAATGCCAAATTGCAAGAGACTTCCTATGGAATCGCATCATACACTCACCAGAATTGAATATGGAAAGAGTTCATCATACTTAATGCTATTACAGCAAGCCCCAAGGGGAATAAGAGTGATTGGTCCCTCATTATGAAGTGCAGCCAATTTCTTTCTGTTTCCATTAGGAGAAGAAAGGGAACAAACCAGGAATATTTTACCACGGGCCAGCAGCTCAAAATTGATCATTTCCCCTTCAGCTTGCAAATTTTTCTTGGAGCCACTCTGGGCAAGAATTGGTTGGAAGACCTTTTCCAGGGGCTTTTCTTATATCACCTAGTTGTACACTTTGTCATTCTCAGGCCAAGGACAGACCCCTTGCATAGCTCAACCACAGTATGTAGCATGGGGAGTAGGGAACAATGAACATGCAAAGGAATTAGGGTCAGTAGGGACAGTTGATTTCACACCCCACCACGACTCTCTTCTCCCCACTCACTGCTGGGCCAGGGATTTGTGAAGATTGTTTGACTCTTTCACATTACTGCCTCTCCACTGTTGTTGACATCTCATATATATCTTTTATTCATCTTTCCTGTGCAAACATACATTTATAGATATCTATATATACAACTTGCCAAAAAAATCAGGTCCATAATGAACATATTTTGGTAACCTACTTTTAAAAAACTTTTATTTTGGAACAATTTTAAATATACAGAAAAGTTACCAAGATAGTTCAGAGTACACGTACTCTATGCCTGGCTTCCTCAAATGTTAACACTTTATATAAACTATGATATGTTTTTCGAAGCTAAGAAATTAACATTGGAATAATATTGTTAACTGGTAACCTACTTGTATAATATAAAATATATTAGGCATTTCCTCATAGAAGCAGGATTTTAATAGCAAAATATGAATTTTCCACAGTTTAGTTATTCTTCTATTATTTGGCATTTTGTTTTCTCCAGTATTTTTTATTATTGACAGCACTCTGATGAATATCCAGGCGGTTATATTGTTGCATATATCTTTAATTATTTTCTTAGATAGAATTTTCAGAAATAACCTTGAGATCAAAGGATGTAATTTTTAACTATTTTGATCCATATTGCCAAATGACTTCACAAAAGAATAGTAATTTGCAGGTGTTCTTGTTGTGTATCTAGGTGTATCCATTGATTCTTAGAGGCCAAAATATACTTAATAAAAATTGGCCCAAACTCACTGGGCTATTTCATGCAAGATAGTGTAAAAGAAATAAACCAAAGTTGGAGTCAGGCCAGCCAAGTTGAAACTCCATACTGCCATTTCTGCAAATCACTCTCATTTTGAGTTTCATTCTCTTTATCTCGAAAATCAGTTGATATACTCTGTAGTGTTATGAAGATTAAATGTACTAAATAAATGTGAACATGTTTTACAGTGTCTGGCACATAGACGCTCAACACACTTTTGACTTAATTTTCCTTTATTTTCTTTCCAAATCCCCCAGATTCATAATTTCTATATAGATGCATTAGAAACATGAAAAGTATATGTTAATATTTTCTGTCTTATATTTGTTCAGGAACCTTTGAAGAGGAGGTTAAGGTCTTAAGAAGGAAATCATTAGACACCATTACAAATAAAACAAGAATTGTAAATGCATCAAGAATTCCTCATTAGGTGTCACTCTTAGAAATGCTAATTGGAAATTGTGTTTGTAATCTGAAGCCCAAGACCTCCTAATTAAGATTCAGTATTGTTTATCCATTTATTTTTTTACTTTAGCGTGTTATGGGGGTACAAGTGTTAAGGTTACTTATATTGCCCATGCCCCCCTCTCCCCTCGAGTAAGAGCTTCAAGCATGTCCATTATCCATTTCTTTTTTTCATTATCTTATACATTAAGAAGCACAGAGGTAGGGCAGCTCTGGCTCAGTACCCTCAGTAGCTCAATGATGTCATTGGGTGCAGGTACCTTCCATCTCTTTGTCATACTCATCATGTAAACTCGATTGTAAGATGGACTCCTTTGGATAACAAGAAGTCTAGAGAAGTTCCAAGCATCACATCGAGACATAGTGTTGCATAGAAGCAGAAAGATCTTCTGTTTTATATCCTAACATCTCCTAGAAACCCCTTAAAAGCTCTCTTCCCACTTCTCATTTACCAGCACTAGATTTAAATGCCCTCTTCTAAACCAGCCCATGGCAAGGAGAGTAGGAAACCTCTAGTGGGCTTAAAACAGCAACATTCATCCTTGCATATGAGAACTTCCTAATCACAAGGCGGAGGGATGAGCCAACAGACCCAGTCTTGGCTTTTCTGGCATTCTTCCAGAGAAGAATGGGTGTGGGGCAGGTCACCAAGAGTACCTGATAAGAAACATAATTAGAATATTCAAATTTGGTTTAGCCAGTCTTTTTTAAAGACCTATGTCCCCAAAACTGATCTTATCATTGTGAAAGGTAGGAAAAGAGAAGACAGGAATAGCAACATTTTTGCTAAAAACAACTAGCATTTGTACAAGTTTGAGTTTCAAAACATGTAGTGTATATATTATTTCAATTAATTCTTACAGCTAAACTACAAGATAGTTTATATCGGTATCTTCATTTAATAGAGGAAGGAGGTAATACTCAGGAAGATGAAGAGATTTCCTATGAACCATGCAGATCGTAAATCACCACACCAGAATTGAAGCCCAGTTCACCTACTCACAAATCCCCATTGTTTCTATGGCCCCAAGCTATGTTTTGAAAGACAGAAGTCACTTAAAAGTGGTAAAAGGGTCTGGTGGAGTGTGAAATTGTGAGGTAAAGATTTTGAGTTTCCGTATGGATGATCATTCTGGGAAGAGATGTGTCCCAGAAATTGTCTTAAAGGAGAAAGATCTTGAGTTATGCTTTAAAATGGAACTACAAGAATGTCTGAAAAAGGAGATGGGGAAAGGAGAGTAGAGGGCTCTTCTTTGCTTTAACTGCAGGTGGTTTCACCAGGACAAGACAGGTTGAAGTGCTTGTGTGCTATCCTCATCTGCAGAAATGGCAGCAGGGTGAAAGAAGATAGTGAGTAAAGCTCTTCTTGAGTCTTCTGAGAATAATCAGCAAACCTGTGTTCTCAAGCCCACAGGTGGCCCTCCAGATACCCAAGTTGAGGGATTCAGTTGATCCCTCAACTGAATCCAAACTTCATAGAGCAAATCCCTTTATTAAAAGGATTTGTTCTGTAAAATTTGGATTCAATCAAAAGGCTGCACTGAAGGATCCAGAGGTCACATGTGGCCCCAAGGCCACAGGTCCGCCACCCTGGATGGATCAAATGTGCATGGCGCCCCCTAGTGGCGCTCCTTGCAGAACACAGGTGTACACAAGTTCCTTCATTAAAGGTAGTCCTAGAAAGTTCTGACTTCCTACATCCTTAAGAGAAGTCTTTTGTGAATCCCTATCTCAACATACTATTGTCCACCTGCATTTCATGTAAATAATCATCTCCTGATATTTTCATTTGGAAGAGTAGATTTCTGCATATGTCTCTGATGTCTTAAAATCAAACTCACCCACTAATTAAGCATCAAGAACAAGTAAAATGACTTTTTTTTTTTTGCCCAAAAAGATATCTTTCAATAAAGAGGCATATTCCAACAAATACCTATTTATTACCTATTATGTTCCAGGAATAGTATTAGAACCTGTGGGTACAGTAGTGAGAAAAAAATATTTGTCTTCATGGAGAATGCATTCTAATGGGGGCAGGGTGCAGAAAAAAAGTAATAATGAACAAAGTAATTTTATATTATGATAAATTCTATGGAGAGAATCAACAGAATGGATGTCTTAAAGAGTAATCATGGAAGATCCTCAGAAGTGACAGTGAGCTAGCTGAAATCTAGAATCTTCTTTGGGAATAGCCTGTGGATAAGTGTTTTAAGCAAGGGGAATACAAATAATAAATATCTAAAGTGCTAGAGAGTTTGGCCAAGTTCCTGCACATAAAGTAGGCTAGATTATAAGACTCACAGGGAGAGTAGAAGAGATTATCAGGGTGGAAAGAGGAGGGGGTGGTTGGAGTGTTGGAGTGGTGAATGGGTGGAGGGTTTATATGTATTCTAAATGCAATAAGGAGAAAGGAGTTTTAAGTAAGGGAGCACCATAACCTGATTAGATAGAGTGTAGTTGAAAAACAGGGAGAGCCTCCCTGATGCAATATACTCCCAGCACTAAAGACCAAATTGGCGTAAGAGTTATCATTACTGATACTGTGTTTATCACCTGGTTGCAATCTCAGGTGAGATCCAGGGTCTCAGTTTACTCATATGCAAAATAAGAGCAAAGTTTTGACTCAGAAATCTCCTTTCTACTCTGTTTCACTGCTAATTAGTAGTAAAACCAAAACCTTTATCTTAACATAGAATCTTATTATTAAACCAACAGCAGCACTTTTATTTTTGGATGATTAATGATGGCATGTATGCGTTTCCCTGTCAGTTAAAGGCCCAAATGTGGAAGAGAAGTCTACTAATGACAAATATATATATATATGTGTGTGTGTGTGTGTGTGTGTGTGTGTGTGTGTGTGTGTGAAATCACAAGTATTACTGCCAGTGTTTGAAAATGATTTCATTTGGATTTGAGAGGGAAAAATAAATTAATGCAGATTTAGTGTTGGAGGATGGCAAGACTTGGTGGAAGTACTAGGAGGTGCTGTAGGTGATGTTACAAGCAAGTGAATTAAATAATAATGATAATTTAAATAATAATGATAGCAATAATGCCGTTAACAAAGACTGTGAGACTTGTTTCAAGACTTGGAGATAGCAAGGGAAATAGAAAATGTCCACTCTGACTCTAAAGCTCTGTATGTATGTCCTCCCACTCCTATTTTTTTTCCCAGATTCACAATATCTAACTTGCCGAATGCAGAACTGCACAGAGGCCAACAGAAATAAGCCCTTTCCAGGCTACATTGACCCAGACTCTTTGATTGTCCAAGATGATTACGTGTTTGTTCAGGTATGAAAGATCCACTTGTATTGGTTGTCTCAAAACATTTCTTGTCCTTGTTTCTGTCTCTATTGCTGCACATTCTGCCTGCTTACACTCACTTAAAAGTAAAAAAGAAAGAAGGAAGGGAGGGAGGGAGGGAGGGAGGGAGGGAAGGAGTTTTCAACAAAAGGAAAATTACTGAGCATGGAACCTTCTATTCTAACAGAATAGTAATTAAATTATTTCCTTTGGGCTGTGTTTGGAGGATCTTATCAACGTGGGGTCATGAAGGCACTGCTTAGGGTAGTAAGCTTGTCTCCAGAATGAGGCACTGTTCTGTCCCTCTCACTTGCATTCCAAATAAGCTTCCAGTTATCAAAGGGACTGAGCAAATATGCCAGTCTCCATCAGGGGAATGGTCAGTCTATCAGCCCCCTCCACAATACCCACCTGAAACGTAGAGAAACAGGAGTATAAAGAGTAAGTTGTGGGGTGGCTAGAGGTGGTGGGAGGCAGAGGCGGCAGAGGCTATGGGGAGGAGAGTAATCAGCTTTTATTGTCATGTACTGACTGTGATTAGAATAAAGAGATTTTAGATGAGATGCATTCACCCAGGCTTTTCACCTCTGAATTCAATGAGAAACTGAATCAAATGAGAAGCTGAAGTGTCATGAGTGGTTAGAAGAGACAAGGAGCAAGTATGCTTTGCTTCTTTTCAGCATTTGAGGGAAATTTTAGGCTTGTTTGGACAATGCATTTAAAAATTCAGTTATTGCTTTCCATGTTAAAAATGACAAAGGTACAATTGCTAAACAGCTTATATACATGTACATAAAACTTCACTACAATTGAGACATTCTAGACACTACATTTATTTCGACAAGAAATTGTGATTTAGAATATTTAATTCCATGGTTTGAGGAAGCATTTGTAAATGCCTAACATCAGCCTGTATACTTTTTAAATGTCTCACAAATGATTATACACACACACAGGCACACACACACACACACACACACACACACACACCATTTCCTTTTTCTTCAGGAAAATGAGTAATGAATACTCTTATAATTTCAGCATCAAATTATCAAGTGACATTCAAATAGTTATACATATTGGTTCTGTCTATAATTCATTTCTCTATTAGTGCTGCTCCCAGGAACCTTGTCTGGTTTCTAATAAGTTTATAATCCACATATATAACTTACAAAGGTGAATCAGTTCTGCATTTAGAATTTCATATATTTTTTTTTACCTATGCCACCTTCAACATAATCCTGTAACCCATCACTAGGACTAAGAGGCCATCTGACCACATCACGGTGAAGAAGCTAACATTCTAATCACATTCCTAAGTGTCTGATGAACATTCACTCAAGGCATTTGTTGACATTCTGAGGATGCAAACTCCAGCTCACACTCAAACTCCGAGTATTTATATCGGTTAAGAATGGCTTCAGAGGAGAGTGAGGTTGGCAGTGGTGTCCTTGATACCATGCCCCGCATGGTGGGGCTATTGCTGAGATGGAGACCACACTGCTCATGGCCCACTCCTCACACCCACTGAGATTCACTGGGCTGTTAATTTTGGACAAAATTAGCGGAGGTAGCTCATACTTTTCCTCTGAGAGATAGACCTAGAGTGAATTTGGACCACAGTCCTGGCCTGGCTTTCTATTACCAACATGCCAGCACTCCTGCCTGTGTGATGTGCCCACAGTCATCAATATGACACCATCAAACTGGAATTCAGTGCCCAGAGAAGCGAGGCTCTAGCGCTGCCACTGTTTACCCTGGACCGTTTCCTGCTGAGGCGGCATGGGGACCTCTTTGTGTGGCCATAGACTGGGGCTAGAGAGCTGGGCTGCTGATGGACAAATGAGCCAGTGTACCCTAAGGCTTATATCAATTTGGGTAAAAAAAAAAAAAAAAAGCTGAAAATGTTTCCCAGGTTTTGAGCCACAGTGTAAATTTAAGAATCGTGTTTTGTCCAGGAGGTTCAGTTTGGGCTCCTGACCAACTCACACACAGCTACCCCCTCCTGCTCAGGTGGCTGTTGTGTGACCTGTAACTGTTCTAGTAGCTCCTCTGACGGCCTTGTTTTTATGATCCAGCTGACTTCAGGAGGCCGGCCGCACTACTACGTGTCCTACCGAAGGAACGCATTTGCCCAAATGAAGCTTCCGAAATACGCTTTGCCCAAGGTATGGCCTGAATCTCTTTCTTCACTTCACTCTGTCCTTGCTTCCCAGAGCCCTGCCTCCATGCCCCTTCCTCAGGACACTTTCTGTTTCCCACAGTCATTTCTTCCTCTGCATTCCCCATGTGTTTCTCAAGTTCGCTCCACCTTCCTCTCTTTTCTGCCAGTCTCATTACCCTCCTGTCTTTCTTTCTCCTTTTCTTTCTACCTCTCTCTCTCTCTCTGGAATTCTTGCTGCTGTAGGAGCATCCAGATAAACTAATAATTGTTTTTGCTTTTCAATGGTAAAGATTTTCAAGCAGTATGTATTGGGTTACTAAGAAGACAGGAAATACTTTTTGGACACGTGGTCTCTCAGTGCAACAGTTGTGCTCTGTCCCTATCCCATTTTATGTGTCTCAGTTGTTTATGGAGATGGTGATGCAGAGACACGGCTCCAACCTTTGCTTTCTCGATGGCACTTATAAGACTGGTTGTCTTTAGAGTTCTGAGGCACAGCTAATGTTTTAGACTTCCCCAAAGGCATACCCTTTTTAAAACAGTGGCAAACAGAAGTTAAAGACCCTCAACTGCCGACATCCCCGGCTGCCTTTTCCTGGAACACTGGAGAACTGCGTTAATATGGAGCGCCACCTAGTGGAGGTCACGCCGACTCGGCAGCTCAAAGCTGTGCGTTTGTAAATCTTGCTGCCATCGTGATGTATTTTAAGTGACTGAAAAGTGTTAATATAGTGTGCTTTAATCTTGGAGCAAGGGAGATGTATGTGGCTATAAGAAAGGGACTCTGCAGGTTTAAATAGAGTTATAGCTCAACTTTGAAGTCTTTGAGTTGCACAAACACATAAAGAATTTTTATTTTTTATTGTTTATTTTATGATTGAGTTTCCATGTTTCTTTCTCTTGTATTTTCATCCATGACTTTGTAGTGTGCTGTCTTGGACCAACACCAGATAGCTGCCCAGGAAATCATGTTATAGACATAGCACAAGGGCATAGCAGGCCTTCTCTCCCGGGAAAGCCAATGGTAACATGTTACTTCTGACTTCTCTAGGCAGAATTTTCTTTCTTGGCTACCATTCTACCCCTAACCCTAATATGGCGAAAGGTGGTCTTTATAGACCATTATAGACCTCATCCCATTAGATGTAATAACACACATTAAATTGCACTATTAAACCCAGAGAACTATATCCATGTTAGTGGTTATTATTATTTTCAGCTGCTAAAAGATTAATGACTGTGGTAATTGCCCAGATACAGTAAGTCTGTGTCTATATACATTTAAATGCTTCTTCTTCTTGATTTGGTTTAACTTTTTTTTTTTTTCAGTAAGAACTTGCAACATTAAGATTGTGTTTAGAAGAGAACTGGGTAAAGTCAGTATATAAAAGGAAAACTGAGTGTTGTTAAAATTATTGCTAATAATTGATTAAGAAGATCCATCAGGGAGATGAACATGTTTCCTCAGTAAATACAACAGAACTGGGGTTTATTTCTCCTTGAGCACTGAAATAGGTTGCTGTTTCTTTCATTGACCAATAGATGAAGTAGTTGACTTGCAAGACTTGCACCTTAAAAAAAGGATTATATTCAATGTGGTGAGATACTGTTGTTCAAGAAGCATATAGAAATTGGGATCAAATCAGGAAAACAGTAGATTTGAGTCACTCTTCTCATGTTCACTCTTGAGAATTTACTCTTTAAGAGGAATAAGTCTCCACCAAAACCAAATGCTATTTGCAACAGAACTGAGACTAGAACTCAAGTGTCCTGACTCCCAGGGTAGTGTTTTTTATGTTATACTTTCCTTGCCTTGAAAATAAATTAATAGCTTCTATTATTAAACATAGCATCATTAACCCCTCAAAATCCCATATAGAAGCATCAATAGGAAAACCGCACTGATTTAAGGAGCCCCAGAAATAGTAGTTCAAAATCAAAGAATCTTGTGTAGACCCTTTGCTGGAGAGTTGGGAAATAGACACTTTGCATTGCTCACTCATAGCCATCACATGGATCACTGCTGACAGTTGTCCCCAGTGGCATCCAGCCAATCTGGAAGGGAGAAGTTTTGCTTTGAACCTAAGTCGGCTGTCTGTCCTCCTCCCCTGCTCTCCCAAATGAGTGTGTTCCATTACTCATCCTCATCTGAGTTCTGAAGGTAGAATGAGTGATTAATTTAGCTTGTTCCCAGAAAAATGGGAACTAGTACAGCAAATGAATGTATTATTTGGTCCAGGTGGGTGTTTATTATTTAAGGCAATGAGATGCCTCATTGCAATCCCATCACAACTTAAAAAAAAAGCTCCAGCTTGAGTGGAGTGATCTGCAGCAAAGGTGCATATATTTCACGGTCTTCTGTCAGAGCCAGGGCTGCCGCGGCTGGAAATGAACAAAGCTTCACGCCGACCAAAGAAATCGAGACAAACCAGCACTTTTATGCTCAAATTTTCTTTAATCATCCACTGCCATTGTATCAGCTCTTGAAAGACCATAGTCGCCCTGAGCTCTGTCAAAAATATATATATTTAATAATATAATGGTAAAGAATGATGGGGGTAGGCGGGGATTTTAGTGTTGCTGTGGCCATTAATAGCATGTGGCCCTCCAGACAGGGAGACCTGAGTAACAGTCCACCTTCCCTTAACTTACTTGGAGCTAGTTCTGAGCTACTCAAGTGAGATAAATGAGGCAATACATATGAAAGTGCTCTGAGCATTTTGGAGGACAGATACTCTATAAAAGCAAGGTAATATTATTATTAGTATGGATCTAGTTGTCTCCATGGTGGAAGATCGATGTGGACCAGAATACAGGTGATGCGAAGGCTGCTTGATTCACGACAGGAGACCCGGATTAGAGACCTAGATCTGTCACTAACTTGCTTTGAAACCTTGGGCTAGTTTATCAGTTTCTCTTTTCCTCATTTTTTTTCCTAAATAAGAGCTTAGATTCACAACAATATTTTCTCACATGTGTTACTGACAATAAAATGTCCTTAGTGGTGCTTCATGAAAATTAGGCTCTGCAATTAAATAAATTTTAAAAAAGGAAGAAATTCCATTCTATGTTCCTTGCATAGAGAATAACAGTAGCTCACTATTATGTTGAAGGTTCTGGATGTCCTATCAGCTAGAAAGCTCTTTACTTCAGCATTTATTAAAATGTTTTATCAAAGGACCTTCCCCTTTTTAAAATGTATTAAACTCCAAACAATGCCAGTGTTCTACAGAATAGACTTTAGAAAACGTTCCAATAGAAGATCTATAAAGACCCCATCTTGGTCTAAAATTCTGTGACTCAGTGAAAGCATTCAACATAAAGCACCACTTTGGGAGAAAAAGCACATTTTCCTGATAGAGGAAGAGGATTTAGGGAAGAAGAAAAAAGAAAGATGACATTTAACTATGTCAAACCTTTCAGTTAAAATATTTAAGATCAACATCACTTTTAAAAAGTCTGTTCAATGTAATTAAATTATATGAAAGGAAGGAAAGATTGGATCTTGGTCCATATCTAGAGATGGTCATTTTAACCTGTTATCATTGCATAACTAGTTCTCTAAGTGATCTAGATCAAAATACTGGATGCATCTGTGTTTTTGGTTCTAATCCTACAAAACAAAGTTTTGTGAGGAGTGGGGTGGTAAGTGTGATCCATTTAGTCCTGCAGTCTAGGAATATTTAATACCTATTGTGAGGATTTCACAGGTTCACCAGTGCAGAAATTCTCTCTAAAGGTACAGAGGTAGTAGTTAGCTATGTGAGGGTCAGGTTATTGTTGAAATATTTTAACTTGTATTCAGGGATTATGTTACCAATTACCGATAAAAACGGAAACATGAAATTTAAAGTAGTTGCTTGACAATTATAAATGCTGGGGTAAGAATTTAGATCTTTGCCATATAGGAAATGAGGAGCCATAGAATGTTTGGCCCTCAATGTATGAACAGCCCTGCAGCTAATTTCCACAGCTGGGTCTCTCCATTAGAAAGAAACAAAACACTTGGATGAACCAGTTTTTGTTGAATATATAGTTAGGACCCTTAACAATTGCAATAAACAGAAAGGCCAAATCAACCATGCTTAATCAACAAAGAGAATGGAAGGGCTCGCTTAACTGCAAATATCTAACATGTATAGAGCATATGCCAAGTGCCAGGTACTATTGTAAGTGCTGAACACTTACCAACTGATTTCATCGTCACAGCTCTATGGGGGACACATTGTCCTTATCTCTGTTTTACAGGAACAAATCCTAAGGCACAGAATTTCCACTGTTCATGCAGCTAAGTCACAGAGCCAAGATTTGAACTCCAGTAGTTTTACTCCAAAGTCCATTCTGTTAAGCATTTGACTATACTCTCTTCTCTAACTGAAAAGTCTGGAGGTAGGATAGGCTTCTTAGCTGTCCACATCCATGGACCCAGAGAATGCCCTGGGATTGGGCCATCTCTCTCCATCTTTTGACCCTATTTTTAGCAGCTTTATGTTCATCCTCTGCCTCCAAGATATGTGTTTAGCAGATTTGGGATTTTTTTTTTATTCTTACTGCTTACAAACCAGTAGTAAACTATTTCTTTTGTCTCTCTCTAATAATTCCTCAGTCATTCTAGAAACATGTCTTATTGACTTTACCTGGTCACATGCCCATCACCTGTCGAGTTGCTGTTGCCAGGGAAACAGAATATTTTGAGTGCCAGGCTTAAAAGCTCACTTCTGGTGCTAAGGGTAGAAGAAAGTAGCAAAGATTTTGGATTAAATATAGAGAAGAAATATGTCTAAGGTTAAAGCTGTTTTTCAAATAATATCAAACTATACCATCAGCTCTCCATATCCTTGTGTTATGTATCTGTGAAGCCAACCAATGTTGGGTAGAAAATATTTGAAAAAAATAAAAATAAAAAATAACAATACAGCAATAAAAATAATATGAGAAAACAAGACAGTGTAACAGCTATTTATATAACATTTACATTTTATTATGTATTATAAGTAGTCTAGAGATGATTTAAAGTCTATAGGAGGATGTTTGTAGATTATATGCAAATAAAATGTGCCATTTTATATAAGGGACTTGAGCATCTGTGGATTTTTGTATCTAAGGAAGGTCCTGGAACCAATCCCTACGTAGATACTGAGGGACAACTGCAATTACCAAAAGCATTGTAGATAGACATTAGGTTGGTATAAGCACACATTGAATTAATGGGCAGGGCTCATTATTGGCCTCCTCACTCTGAAATTTTTTCTACAAATGTTACCAAACTCTAGAGTATGTCATATGGAGCCTGAGTAGAGGTGAGGAATATGAAACCCTTTAGATAGGACTTCTTCCTTCTGAGATCCTGAGTTCACTGTGATCAAAGTTAAAGAGGAAGCAGAGTCTTGCTTCTACATGTCTAGAGCAGAGTCAGGACTGTTGCTGGTTGATTGATTGATTGATTGAGAGAGCATGGACATATATTACCATGAGACATTTAGGTTAGAAAGTAAGTAGAATTTTCCAGCACTGGATTTTCTAACAAGGAAGATTGTTAGATCTCCTGAATCTTTTCAAAAATAGAATATGGTCCATCTGGGAAGATTTGAGTACTAAGGTACACAAAGGATAAGAAACTGTCTAGGTTGTTATATCTTTTTGACTATATGCAAGTCTTTTTCTTTGTTTTCAGTTTTTGGAGGCTGTACCATATCTACTGCCTTTGGCAAAGGATAAAAGGCAGCAAACAGCATATGTACATGAACAGGCATCCCCTGAAGGAGACAGCAAGCCTTGGTCTGAGTTATGAAGCTTTGGCTTCCTAGCCCCTACTGCATTTCCCTAGACAATAGGGGGAATAAAGGATTTGGAATTCCCATGACAGGGGCATCTGCTCACTGCTTCCATGTTATACTTGCTTTGTTTCTATTTTCCAGTACCATCAGGGTCTGAAAACAACATCAATTATGCTTACTAGTTTTTCCCTCTTTCATTAAATGAAAGAGGTTTCCTGCAGAACCTATGAGTATAGGTTTTGATAAGCAGCTAAGTCCTTGGACACTCATTAACATGAAGATTAATACTTTGGGGTTCTCTGGTGAACATTTTCCTTAGGAGTGGGGAGCACTTGCTGGGGATTGCTGAACCTTAGGGCAGTGCTTCTCAATTTTAATGTCCATGCAGACCACTTACAGATCTTATTAAAATGCAGATTTGTATTCACTAGGTGAGGCCTAAGGTTCTGTGTGTTTAACAAGCTTACAGGCCATGCCCTTGCTGTGGGCCCATGAACCACACTGAGAGATATAGGATTTGTCTATTTTCTGTCTGTCCCTCCTGCTTTTCCTCGTATCTGCTCCATATAAGCCTTCTGAGCAAGTACTATGTTTGTCCTTAGCAAACATATCAGGATGATTGATTCTCCAAATCATACATACTTAAGAAAGTACTTTTCAAATTACCTAACGAGGCATTTAAATTATAACTGAGCTACCAAGAATCCCACTATCCTATTTTCTCATGACCTGTTGCCTAACCCCACAAGTGACAAAGGAAATTTATGATTAACACACTTAACTAATTATTCCTCATATATGCAAAAGGAAGTGTTCTATCTTCCATCAAAGTGCTTATTCTGATATTTCTTGTTAAATTCCACACTCTTTGGATGCCTGCCAGGTTAACATACAAAACTCTTCTTTCCTCTTTACTTCCTTGTGCCTTTGTTCAGGACATGCATGTCATCAGCACAGATGAGAACCAAGTGTTCGCAGCAGTCCAAGAATGGAACCAAAACGACACGTACAATCTATACATCTCAGACACCCGTGGTATCTACTTCACCCTGGCCTTGGAGAATGTCCAGAGCAGCCGAGGCCCAGAGGGCAACGTCATGATTGACCTCTATGAGGTATGTCACCAGGCATATGTGGCCCTGAGCAGCAGCAGTACCAGGACTGGCTGATGAAGACCCGGCACTGGCTGTTTCTCTCATCATTTTAATACTGGTTCTTTGTGTGGCATTTCCTCTTGGGAGGAAAAGAGGATTTTCCTCTTGGGAGACGGAGAGATTTGTGGAGCATTTTTATTAGTTAATTCGCAACCCACAGAACATTTCCAGAAGGGATTCTTTCTTGACCAAGGACTTAGGACATGAATCCCTAGAGGACTTGGAAAACTTCTGGGGAGGCAGGCAAACAAGTAAAGGGTTTGAAAAAGAATGATATGCATGTGATATTTTAAAATAGTTTTGAAGGGCAGACTGGGTTTTGAGTACAGGGGAGGTGGGCAGCCTTCCCTTATCTCTCTCAGAAGAAAGAGTGACAGAACGACAGGGACAGGGGCTTCCTTCCATTGCATGAGAAGACACTCTCTTTGAAGACCTCCATACCTACATAACCTCCCCTGCTAATGGCCTTTCTCTCCCAGGGCCAGGAAGTGAGATAAGATTAATAGGCCTTTTTCTCCTAAATCTAGAAAAACATATTAATAAATAAAAAACAACTACAGTAACAAAACCAGAGCTCACCAGATTTCCCTAAGGGAACTGTGGCTCTTTGTTTCTCAAAATGACCACAATTCAAAAGAAAATCATATATGTTGGATCAGTTAGCTTTCATGACAAACACCAATGTTTTCATTGCCAGTGAAGGTACCCTTAAGTAGAAAGAAAGCTGCTGTTTTAGAATGGATTTTATCCATTTGTCAGTCTTATCATGCACTATGAAAAATTCATAATAGGTTGTAATAAGTCATGTAAAATGTATTCAGAATGTGGGAAGTACAACCATATATCTATCTGTATTCTATCTGGAAAAAAATCTAAAATGGATTCAAATATGTACAATTATAATGATTCTATCAATTTGGTTGAGAATAAGTTCAAGGAGTCAAGAGGTGGTTTGTTATAAAAAGAAGCAAGGAAGTTATATACAGTATGAAAGAAACCAATTTGGCTTAAGAAATTTTAACCTATTATTGTAATTCCTTTTAAAGTGTTCTATTTTTCTTCTCCTTCAAAAGTTCTTAGGGATTTTCTTGTGGTATCTAAACTTCTCTGTATGTGTAAAGGCATGATAATAAACTGTGTGCCCAATTTAGAGCCCAAGTATTTGTAATGGAAATTGTAGCAGACTAGCATAGAGCATAGTTTGTGTGTTTATATTTAGAAAAATGCACTGAGAAGTTTTTCATACTTTCACAAGTTTTTTTTTTCTACTTCCTCTCCTGCCCATGTTTCAGATAGAGTATCATATATCTCAGCCTCAAATGGAAAATATATTCTAAAAACATTTACATATTCTGATGATTTAGTTTTAAATTCATTTTGGATACAATTTAATTTAAAATATATATTTCAGATTCAGGTTGCCTGGGTTTTAGTCGGAGCAATGCTACTTGTATGTATTCTTGAGACAAATCCAGTAACTTCTGAGCCATAGTTTCCTCGTTTAAAATAGGGAGATAAATATGATACCCACTTGATAGGATTTCTCTGCCGGTTAAAGGAGTTAATCCTCGTAAAGTGCTGAACACAGTGCCTGAAATACAGCAATGCTCATCAAATTTTAGATAGTATCATTAATATTATGCTTCAATGTGTCTAAGCACCAATACAATGTTCTACTCTTATAGTCTTAAAATCTACCCACGTTGTTTAAATGATCGTATATTTCTATTATATTATTTTGGATTTTTACTTCTTTCCCTATGGCAATTATCATAGCCATATGACATTCTTTAACACCAACTAGTTGTCTTCTTATAAACAAGTGTAAATTGCCACATTGCTTTCTTCATTTGTAAATGGTTTTACACATTTAAACCTGAAGTATGTTTTGTTGAAATGCCATGCATTTTTTTCCCCTTGATCCAGCACTTACAATGGAAGTATTTTTGCTCTCGGCATCAGCTGGTGTGAAGTCAAAGCAACTGTCCCAGCTTAATCACCCAGTTTGCTTTCCTGGGCCTAATTCTGTCCTTGATCTCCCCCAGAAAATGTTCTGATTTTCAGGTTGCATTTTCCCCTTCCTGATTATTCTCTTTTCTGTTTTATTTAGATTCTCTAAATAAATTTGTTTTCTGCCAGAAATAGAGATCATTTTAATTGGTCCCTTGATGATAGGAAAGATGACAGATTTGGACAGGAATGACTTTGCAGTGTCTTGTTATTTGCAACTATTTTCCTGATTGGTTTTCTGAATTCAAACATGGGTAATAGGTCCAGAATGAGAAGAGGAAACAAGGCGACCTCTGGACATGTGGACATCACAAATATTGCTTTCTTAATCCTAGCGCTTCTCATTCCCGTCTCTCTTGCAGTTGACTCTCTATAGGGAAACTGCTGGCTCCTATTACCATCACTTTGAGCACAGGTGTGACTGCATTATGTAAAGGTGTTCTGCATCCTGGGGCTGGAAGAGAAGAGTCTTTGTTTTATTAGCCTGACAGTTCACAGCAACCAGAATTGAAATTGATGTGATCAGAACGGCAGTGCCGTATCTGCTGATTACCTAGATAGAAAGAATATTGGCTGACACGGAGCCTGGCACAAATGTTCCCTTAAATCTGATTGTTCTGGCTAGCAGGAAGCTGAAAGCCATCCAGCATGAATTTCCCAGTAGAATTGTAACGAATGATGAGAGCTTAGAGAGAAATGAAAAGTAAGAAAATCCATAAATGAATTAATAAGAAGCAGAGATGAGCAACGTATGAGGTGGGGGTGACAGAGACAGAATACATGAGGTGACTAAGGAGGGTGACATTTGTCTTTTGTGTGCTTCTGCATGCCAATTACCTGCTATGCTTGTACTTGTGTGCTCTTTAGGCTATTTTAACAGAGGTAAACTGTATAATGTATAAGTGTGTGGATGCATCTGTGTATTAAGGATATGCATTGTTGATGGGTCTTTGTGGAAAATGCAGAAGGAAGCACAGTTCTCATTAAAATTAATCATTTTGTTTGCACACATATTGGAACCTGGATAAAACTCTGTGGCTTCCTACCCTAGAACTACATGTGTGTACTGGATGTGTTAGGCAAATGCTGGGGACAGAGTATCAGGGGGACCACCTCACATGGTTTAGTTATTGAAATACCAGATTCAGTGTGAATTGGACCCCATTCAAGAGAGTAAAGAAATGTGAGCCAGGATAGTTGTCTACAGAGCAAAAATACTGGAAATAGATTTTTGTTGAAGAAATATAATAATAATAATAATGGCTAATATTTTGGAGTGTTATTATGCTCGGCATGGTGTAAAGAACCTTCCCTAACTATCTCATTCAACCCGTATATTAACTTTATAACCTAGGAACTAAAATCACTTCCACTTCAAATATAAATAAATGAAGGCAAGTAGGACAGGGAGAACACAGGAACTTTTGCAAGATTGCAAAGCTAGTAAGTGGCAGAGTTAGGACCTCAATTCTAGAGTGTGCAAACTCTCAACTACAAATTATCATGTTTTCTTGAAAGATCAATATCTAGGCTCCTATTTGATTATGGATGAGTAGTATTAATAGCATAAAGGCTGAAGAAGAACACTGAAGGGCAAGGTAAATCATGTTAGACTATGCCTAATAGTGGCAGAAACCAAACAGGAAGAAGAAAATGGTCGGGGGACAATTGTCAATCAGTAGTTAATTGCCCAAGTCCTAAACCACCACCTTCTGAACAGAGTCCTGAGTTACAGCTAAATCAGGCTGTGTTTGCATGTGGCTCCCAATTTTGTCTGGTAGATGTATTTCTGTAAGAAATGTCTAAAAACAACTGTCCCAAAACTCTGTTGTTCCTGAATATCAGGAAAGTTCTAGTGGCATCATGTGTGTTGGTAACAGAAGACAGCATGCTTGATGGTGGGCAGAGCAATAGAGATGTGACGAGTGTTCTGAGACAAGGGATTCCTAGGGTATTTGTGTGGTGTGGATGATGAGAGGAATCTGACAGCTTTGGATAATATGCTCCCTCCTTTGAGAAGCGAATATTAATTAATGATGATGAAGAGCACTTTGGCTTAATGGGCAATGACAGTTCACACCAACTGAGTGGAGAAGGTTGTGTTGGGAATGAAGCCAACTGGCCGACAAATCCAGAAGGCACAAGAATGTGTGCATACATGAATGAGCCTTGGTGGCCTCATGAAAGACAAGACCAGTGACCAGGGCATGTTCTGTTATATACCTAGTATCTTCTGCACATTATGAGTACCCTCTCTCTAAGAGAGAAAACTCAATAGCCACGATGATGTAGCTTACCCTGCGATTTATTGGGGAAAGACTGCCTGTTACAATCCAGGGTAGGAGGTAGAGTAGAAATATATAATCCAATAGTTTTTAGTGTGTTTGCAGAGCTGTGCAACCACCACCACAATCAATTTTAGAACATTTCGTCATCCAGTATAGAAACTCCATAACCATTGGTAGTCATTTCCCATTTCTCCCCCCTCCCATCTCCTCAGTGGTGATTACCAGAGGCCTAGGTGTTACATCTTCTAATGGAGAACTATTACTATGTTACCAAAAGAGAAAACAGGGCCTCTTTACAAGGTGACTTTCCTATTATTAGTTTTTAAAGAAGCAGTATGGTGGAGTGAATGGCAATCCAAAGGTTATATTAGAATGGGACATGATAAAGTAAGAGATCATAGGAGAAGAAAAAATTTGAATTAACTTGCGGCAATGAGTATGAGGAGTTCTAGAGACATTTATGGGAACACTGAGTCCCATGAGAAGATTCTACAGTTGTTTAGAGCCAAGATGTCGGTTTTGTCTATATGAGAGGCAAATTGAAGTACAGAACAGTGTTGGGGACATTCAGGGGTAAAAGAGATTCTGATTTCTGGAGAAGATTTATTGAGCTGGACCTCGAGGGAAGAATAGGTAGAGACATATCAGGAGGTTGTCTAGAGGAGTGGGGGGTGTCCTTAAGAACAAAGAGAGTCAGGAAGTGCTTTGAGACTGTCGCTCTGAGGGCACAGTAAATGCACGGATGTGCTTTGTATTAGGCTTAAGGGTTGAGCTATGACACTTCATATTTAAATCTAATGAAAATCATTATATCAAATAGTAAGAAATAGCTAATAATTCCTCCATATGAGAAGCAAAAAAAAAATCCTCCATATGAAAAAAAAAAAAAGTAGCTTTCTAGCAACTCAGCATTCTCAGAGATCTTGATGCAGAATTCAGAAAGGCATAAAAGGTAACGAGTTTTTTCCCACAGGAAGACAAACTCCTAACAGTGGGATGTGTCATTCCCATTGGAATATCTTCATTGGAAATTCTGTGTCTACGTGAAGGCACGTCTTCCACTGGGAATATTACCTTTCCCACCCCATCCCATCCCTCAGGCCCACTGCAGGCTGTAAATATGTGTGTAGTGTGGATACAGAGATAGGTTATCTGGCAACATAAACATGGCCCCTCATCCTCATTGGAGCCCCAGACCTTACACATACACATGCCCACATATGTGCACACACAGGTACCACTGCATGCATTCCACATTTTGGGCACTAATGCTGCTCCCTTGATATCCAAAGTCCTATAGTGAGAGCATAGAGGTTCCAAGAACTCTATGATGAGATCTTAGAAAAAGACCCTGGAGCAGAGTGCGTCATGCCTAGGGGTTGCAGTGGGACACACAGAAAGATGGATTTCTCAAGCTCATAGTGAAAGGAACAGGGAATGGCACAAAAACCTAAGAGTAAGGCTACCTATCTTTGTAGACTAGGCCAAAGGAGCAAGAAGAAAAAAAAGAAAAACCACCTCAAATGGATAAAGTGCCTTGGCTACAAGAGGAAAACAAGCAGACCCTCTCCAGCTCTGTCCCCTGTTGACACACATTCCCTTTACTTTGCCAAGTTTTTATTCCTCAAGATAAACCTGAAGGCCAAGCTGCCAGCAATGAATTACAAAGTGCAGCTCTCTGTTCAAGTGGCATTTGATAATGCCAAGCGGTCGGGGGCCAATAAAGTCACCACTTCTGCAAATCAAATGAGCCAGCTCCTAAGCGTGCATAACCCTGCTCTGACACCCTTGCCAAAAGAGGGAGAGGGCAGGAAGGAAAATGGGCAATGAAACTACTGGAATAGGTAACATTTTCATTTTTCTGCACTTATTGTAACCCTCTAGAGTGTTGAATGGCTAAGACAGAATCGTTTCTCATTTCTGGGTGTGATATGGAGGGAAGACCGGTATGACTTTGTGAAAATTCTGATTTCTGTAATTTAATTTTTAAAGAACTGGCAGGTTAGTCATATTTATAAGTATGTAACAGCCTCCTGAACATATGCAAGACCAATATGGAGTTCCCTGGTGAGCAGCCCTTGTGGTGCTAGCATAGTGAATTACTAAATGTTGTTTGTAATTAACACGCTGGTTTTGGGAGGTAGAGTGCTCCTGGAGTCTATGCCTTCCACATTTGTTGAGAATCGAAAATGCACAAGAATTGTTCTGGCTGCTGTTGGTTGCCCAAAATGCTGCTTGTTGTCTAAGCAGTTCAAAGTATTTCCTGTCAGCAACTCACTTATACTGTTTATTTGCTTAACAAACTTGTGGTTCCAAAAGAGTACAAATTTGGCCCAACTCTAAATTACCCCAGATGCCAAATCAGCAGGTATAAACTAATGAGATCTGACTGTGTCAAAAGCAAAGGCAAAATGTGTTGTCTTCTATTGATCAAAACCCAACCACTTTGAATTGACCAATTCAGAGCTGTATGTGTTGAAAGAATGTTTGAAAATCAGACAGATTTGGGTCTGAATCCCAACTCTCTGTAATCATAAACAATTAAATTTTGTCTACACCTCAGTTTCCTCATCCATAGAATTGGGGTAAGAGCTGTAGTGTGGGTTTATGTTGAGTACTGGAGGTTTTATATAAAAAGTCCTGGGCATGATGCTTGGTATTTGGCATGGAGTGAAGAGATGGCAGCTATTTTACTATATTCTGTTTAAAATTGTCATATTATAAAATAAAGGACCTGACTTAAGTTAAAGGTTCAAATATGCTTGCTGGCTTATTCACTTAATCCCTGTGTGTGTTCCAGAAATCTAATTTTCCATTTTCTCATCCTCAAAATGTGGCTAATGATAGTTACATCATGATTATTGCATTAAATGTGATAATGCACATGTGTTGTCAGAACGTGCTACTCGACACGTTCCGGACCTTTTTCACACTGCCCTTCAGTTTTTCTGGGTTGCGATAATTTCAAGCAGGGTGAAATATGCATGAATGTGTTTGATAAACTAAAACACCTGAAAAATGTAATGTGCAATTAATGATTTGTTTTTGCACAGATTTGACAACTTACCCATTGTTACTTCTTCCCTAGCATATGGAAGAGAGGAGGTAATTGTATTTTCAGAGCCAAATAATTAACAAGAACTGTTTATCCTGAGAACAAGAGTGTTAGGAGAATGGAGTAGGGATCATTTGATGATTTAGGGAAACCACTGTCTCTTTCCATTTAAAAGCTCTTCACTTATATACAATGTATTTTGAAGAGAGATCCTTTGTTGAAAAAAAAAAATGTAATTAGATCAGGTGCTTTAACTGACCTCTTTTAATTGTCCACGCCTGCAGATAGCTTAATAAGTTGGATAGTCATTGGGAGTATGCGCTGTGAAGTCGTAGAGTTCTGGGTTAACATCCTGGGTCTAACCCTTAATATGTGCCCTTCAGCAGTGTGATCTGGAGCAAGTCACCTTATCTGGATGAGACTGAGTTTTCCTCATCTGTTAAATAGAGTATGTGATACTGAAGAGGACTGTTATAAGGATTAAATGAGATAAAGTGTTTGAGACTCTGGATGCTGTGCTAGCATACAGTAAGACTGGCCCCAATTTATTTACCCAGCAACACAACAGAAAGCATCAGGAGTTTGATCTGTTGGCAACTGCAGGATTCTGCTAACTTACATTAAGGGTAATATGAAGCCCCTATCAAATTGATGCTATGACCCCCATATGACAAGGGGCACCAATCTCTTGCTTTCTGTCCAACATCCCTGGGAATCGTTATATGTAAGCATCACTCCCCTTCCACTATTCTCACTCTTTCCTCCAAAATAAGTCCACTTGGCTGAATTTGACAGCCTGCTTTTCTTTTTCCTTTCTCCTTTTTTGTTAAAGTGAACAAATATATCCCTTCTCAAATTGATGTATTTTTCAGCCATGTCAATTTTTCCCAGGTAGCAGGGATAAAGGGAATGTTCTTGGCTAACAAGAAGATTGACAACCAAGTGAAGACTTTCATCACGTATAACAAAGGCAGAGACTGGCGTTTGCTGCAGGCACCAGACACGGATCTAAGGGGGGACCCTGTGCACTGCTTGCTGGTGAGTCTTCATGTGGGAGCAGAATGCCCCACACAGTCGAGGGGTGGAAATGGATGTTAAACACGGGATGACAACAGTTCTGGGAGTTTTGCTTGGTTCATGAACGAAAAGGGGCAAAGAAAGGTGCAAAAGCAGAGGGTGTAGGAGAGCCATAGCACTGTGGTGTGCCAAGGAGATAGGAGAACATGGGGAGATGTCTTGTGCCCTCTTTGATCCTTGTTTCCAGCCCAAGTTCTAATGAGGACCTCAAATGGTAGTTTTAGGGAGAATAAGGTAGTTTCCATCTCTGGTTTGGATTTGTCCCAAACAGCCTTACATTCTCATGAATAACCTGTTACAGAACTAATAACACATAAATTCAGCTGTAGAATTGATGCACTGAATGCAAAATTGTGTAGGAATATTTTCCTGTGGAGATATTTAATCACAGTTTCAGAAGAGTCTATGACTCAAAAAATAGTAAGAACAACTGATTTAAATCCTTATTGGTATTCTGTAAAGCTGGAGTTGGCAAACAATGGCCTGTGGGCATAATATGGCCCACTACTTGTTTTTCTAAAAAAGTTTTTTTTATTGAAACATAGTCATGCTTATTCATTTATGTATTGTCTATGGCTATTTTCCCTCTTCACTGGCATAACTGAGTAGTCAAGACAGAAACTTTATGGCGAACAAAACCTAAAATATTTATTTATTATCTGTCCCCGTAAAATAAACGGTTTGCCGACCCCTCCTTTGACATTTGACTTTCTTGTAGTTGTCTTACATTTAAGCAATAAGTAATTAGATAAGCATGCATTTAATGATATCATTTATATAGGATGGCATCCATAGGAGGATCAAAGATGGACCTTGCCTTCAAGGAGTTTACAGTCTTCTTGTCTACTTGAGTAGATTACGAAATGAAAGATTTTAGGGTCACACATTTATACTTGTCTTAGTCGCTCTGATGCCTGCCTCATTTTTGACACAACAATAGACCCTAAGAAAATGCCTAAGGAGGGGAAGAAGAGATTAATTGCAAAGTAAAAAACAAAATATTATTAAATTAATATTATCAATTTCTTTGAAACAATTCAGAAGTTGTGTTTACATTTAGAAAAAGGAGAGACCATGGTGTAAACCTTGAGGGATGATCACTTAGTTTTAGTAAGAAGGGCTTGGGGTGCATGTGTGTATGTGTGTGCGTGTGTGTGTGTGTGTGTGTGTGTGTGTGTATGTAAACTACACATATAGAGTTGTTCATACACGTACACCTTGATGTTGTCCATACTCAGCTTGCTTCCTTTATTCCTTCCCAGGAAGCCTGGGCAGTCACTTTACAGGTTCATCTCACAGAGCTGGAGGCGAGTCACTCTCCTACTTGAGAAGATGCCAGCAGCCATAGCTTGACCTTATTAGTTGCAGAGAATATCACAGTTGTCACTGTGCATCAGGGCAGCAGTCTAAAATTCTGCCTCCCACGCAGCTTCCACCCTTATTAATGACAACTTACGGGGGGAAAAGAGCCAGTAGTTATAGTAAGTGCACAAAGCCAGTGACAGAGTTAGTAAATATATCAGCTATTTATTGAATACCTACTCTATGCAAAGCACAGTTCAGTAATGTTTTTTTAAAAAGGGCCACCTTCTTGGTTTAGCTATCCCAAGTTGGAGCGTCATGATGTTTAACCAAAGATGCCTGGGATATGTCAGTACCTTAATGTGGTCCTCCGTCCCCTCTCTGCACTTTGGAGATTAAATGCCTATGAGAGAGAATTTAACTGTCACCTAAAGAGACCAGCCTGGGCACTCTGGCATCATAAATGGACCATTAAAATGCCTCCAAAGCAAAGCACTTAGCAAGGTATTCCCTGTTCCACCCTCAACCCAGCATCAGGAAGTCTTATTGTTGTGTTTCCAAAATATAAATGCAGTATCAGCTTGCTTCTCCTTCTCCACTGGGAGGATCCTAATCCAAACCACCATCATTTCTCACCTGACCTACAGTGACAGGCTTCTATCTGGTCCTCCCATTTCTGCCTGGCAATTCATTCTCTAGACTGCAGCCAATGTGTCCTTTTTTAAAATCAGCCTTAGTGATATAAAACATGCATACACATTCCTTATATGAGTATGGTTCAATGAATTTTAACAAATGCATATACCTATGTAACCACTATCACAATCAAGATAGAACATTTCCATCACTGCTCCCAAATTTCCTTTGTGCCTCTTTGCAGTTATAACCCATGCTCTCAGCCCTAGAAAAGCACTGATCTGCTTTCTTTTACCATATATTAGATTTCTGTTTTCTAAAATTGTATGTAAATGCTATCAACTTAAACTTTTTAAAAAATCAGCTCATATCACTCATTTAATTAAACCTTATAATGGCTTTCTAATTCATGTAGAATAAATCAAATTACTTATCATGTAAGGCCCATGTTACATCTCCTGCCTGGTCTCCAGCTTCTTTTTCCTTCCTTCCTTCCTTTCTTCCATGTAAGTCATCATGGGAGAGGGAATGTTTCTTTCCATACCAGCACCTCATTGTGTTCATTTATGTCTTAGGGTCTTTGCCTTTGCCATTATTTCTCTTAAAATGCCCTTTTCCTTGTCTGGCTTTTTCTTGGAATTCACATCCTTGCTTGATCACCTGAATTTCAGAGAGCTTTCTTGAATATCTTCTAACGTTGTATGTGTCCCACTTCATTTTTCATCATAACCCTTATCACTCTCCAAAATCAGCACATGCATTTGTTGACTTCCTTGTCCATCTTCCCCTGCTGAAATGTGAGCTCCATGAGCAGAGGCACTGTGCCTGTCTTTTTAGTCATTCCAAAGAATCATTTCCAAGATTTATAATTATACCTGCCATGTGGCAGCTGCTCGACAGGCATACTGTTATTATAAGTGTTGTGTGCATTTAGAGTATGCACTCCATTGAAAAGTATTGTTTGAGTTTCACATCTGGACTTCAGTGGAAGCCATTCATTCCCTCTGAGAGTCACCCTGGAAGATGTGTCATCATCTCCACCTTCTGAAACTCATGGGCTCAAGTTGGCCTCAAAATTAACAAAAGCAGGAGGCTCATTAAGATTAAAGATGAATTATTGAGATACAGATGTATGGAATACAGGCATCTTCCAGCCTTCCTTCCTTATTACCCTGTTGCTTAATGTAGTTTAATCCTGAGCTTCATAAAACAGGCTGCAGGGTGAGGAGGGGAAAATGACAAAGGGAGTGGGCAGGAGAGACCAAAAGTACTTTACAAAAATCTTCCAAAGGCACAAAATAGGAAAGAAAAATTTTAAGCTACAGGAGACTCAGACTGTTAAAAACCTTCTTCAGTCTTGGGAGCTAGTGGCAAAGAGGAGATAAAAAGTGGTTTTAGATTGTGAGTACTTGGAAAGTGACAGTGTCACCAAAAGCACAGCCTAGTGATTAGAAAAGAGATTTTCCAGCAGGGCTGTTACAAATGTGGAATAAGTTCAGAATTGCAGCCCCAAATGGAATGTTCCTGGTAAAATGTATTCTATAGAAATAACACATCCAGGGTAATTTGGGGTGTATTTTTAGGACTTTTAGACTGATTGCCTGGAGGGCCCAGCTGAGATTTCTTTCCTCTGAAGACTGCATTGTACAATTAGATAGGGTATTACAGGTCATGGTCCACCTGCCTCCAAAGCCTCAGGATTGGGCTCCCAAGAGGCAAGTTGTGAGCTAAGCTGAGCCTGTGACAAATCTGTGGGCCCTTGGGGAAAGCACAGTGTTTCATGGAAAGGTGCTCTGACTTCTTTATGGATTCGTGTAGCAGTTTTCTGCTGGCGCTGAGCAGGCAGCTGCCCCGGGAGATTCTTGACTCTGTTTTTCGCCTCCCTTGCGTTGTCTGTGGCTCTGTGTTTTGATGGATTGCAGTGGTGCCGAATATCCCATACCCAGCCACTTGATCTGGGGGCCTCCCTCTTCAGTGCCATCGACTCTTTCGTAAAGATCAGTGGATTTCCACCTGCAACTCCAAGTCAGGAACTGCACAAATGTGTGTATATTGGGAGGGTGTTGGGGACACTTACTGCCTGGTTATTTATGAAAGCTCTGATCTGTCTTTTCAGTACAATACTCAGATTAGGATCTGTGGAGATAAAGATGCCATGAAGATAAGATCTAAAGGATATTGATAATAGAGGTTGGGGAGAAAGAAGTGGAATTTGAAGCTGCTTGACCCTCAAATAATCTAACAGTTTTTAAAGTTTTTGATTTATTTCATGCTGGGGAAATGTCTTCTATTATTTGTTAATTCCCCATTGGCCATCCACAGTGCTAGAAACACAGGAGATAATTCAGGGATCACCTGGAGAACCAGACGCAGAAAGGCAAATACTGCTTGTTCTCACTTACGTGTGGAATCTAAAATAACAGATCTCATAGAAGCAGAGAGCAGAATGCTAGTTACCATTCTGCAGAGGCTGCTGAGCAGGGGGATAAGGAAATGTTGGCCAAATGATATAATGTTTCAGTTAGACAGGAAGAATAAATGATAAGTATTTGACATGAAAATAATGGATCAGTTAAGTCCAGCAGATACTATGGAACACTTGCAATGGGCAAAGGATTTTGTTGGTTAAAATAAAAGATAAAAGAATAAGGAAATAAAAATGGACAATTAAGAGCTACAGGTCCACTGATGGACATTAAGGGTTTTTGAACTCCCTGAAATTAGGTGAAAAATTCTGTGCACTTGTTTTTGTGCACTATTTTGGTCCTTAATTTGCATTAGATTCTCAAACTTTGCACTTGACCCTGAAAAGATTTAATTCTAAGGATCTAGTCATTCACAGAATTGGACGATTGATGATATGCCATGACCTATGTGTAAGTAAGGACTCAAAACATGTAAGCTGCTCCCACATCCTGTATAAAGCAGCTGCTAGATCATTGTTGGTTCTGGTGAACATGCCTGTGTTTTCTTAATGTGGACAGGAAAGGGAAATAGAGAACTGCCCTTGGGAGAGGTGCTTTAACTCCGTTGAATTGGAGAAAACCGTGGAAGGGTATAGAAAGAGCTGTGACTATGAATTAGCATGGCATGTGGCACATACTCAGCACATATTTGCTCATGAGAGAATAAAAGGCAGGAAGACAAGAAGGAAGGAAGAGAGAGGACTAGAAAATTCTCCTTGCCCAGGCAAAATGTGCATAAGAATTGGAGATCTTTGTCTTGTGTACTTCAGGAGCTTCAAGTGGCTTGATAGTCATCATAATAAAATAAATATATTAATATAAAATATATTAATTACTTAACTTTGACAAATGTCCAAAACTGGTCAGGTACAGATGTTTTAAAAAAGTGAAGATGAGACACTTTATGTGTTTTTCTTTAAAACATTTGTGAAGACCATGTATAACTTCCTTTAAAAAAAAATGAAAGAGAGAAAAAAAAAAGCCATAGAATATTCTCCTTGTACCAGCTGGGGGCAATCCAGTACTACAAATGTGCGAGTGGAGGAAAAAGTACACCAAAAGATCATTTCTGCTGTTGCTACTACCTTGTGAACTGGTGTCTTTTCTTCTCAAATTCATACATCTCAGCCCTCTGAAAGCCATAGCAACAGAGCAGTGCTGAGACAGCCAATCGAAAATGCCCTCTTTCCTTTGTAACGGGAAGTGTCATTACTGAATAGTCTATGAGTCAGGTGGCAATTTAGCATCGCAGTCTGCTCTGTTAGGTGGTGCAACAGGCCCTCCGTTAAGCCCACATCCTAAGCAGTACTGTACTTCTTGGAATGCCATGGAGATGCTCACAACACAACTCAGATGATGTGGTTTATAATAAAGCTCACATACTATTGGCATTGCTCTGACTAAAATAGTAAAGCGATGTTTTTCATGTCCTAACAAAAAAGCATTACTTGATATTGCAAGCTTTCATTGAATATCTTTTTTTAGATTTTACGGTAGGTTCCACAGAAGATGCAAAGGAATACTTGATGGGTTCTCTTTATTTGTAGAGTGCATCTCTTAGGAGGATAAGATTGGACATACTCAAAATAGATAATACAGCACTGTGCATGGTAAAATACAGTATTGTAGATCGGAGAAGGGGAGGCTGGATAGGCTGCAGTTGTTAGGAAAACTTTCATGGAGAAATGAAAAGTGACACCTCCACTGTATCCTGTGTTAACATCACCTGAGCATTGTACAACACTGTCCTGGGATATCTGTAACTTTTAATAGGATCTGTTCTAGCCGTCCCCTTGGACAAAAAGAAAAAGCCAAGTGTCTGGATCTGATATTTTTTTCTTATAGAGGCTATCTTTTTTACTCTTATTGAACATTATAAAGTGAAAACTTTTTTTAAGACCTTACATGAAATTTTTATGTAAAACCAATAATTTATTACTATTATGACTCCTTGAGACTTGTACTCTCTGGGTTGGCTGTGAAGAAAAGTCCCTATTGTGATCTGCTATTTTATTTCACTAGCGTTTCGGCTGCTTTTACTCCTGAATTTCATTTTTAGTTTGTCATTTACTCCATCCTATATAAATTTAATCATTGTATCTGCAGCTGTCTGAATATCTGCTGGCTGAGACTTACAGAGCAGAATAAAAGTAATAACAGAGATACATTGGTGATTCCAAAATCTCAAGTCGATAAGATTAGAAAGTAATCTTCCTCAGAGATGAAAAGAAATGTGGGTTCAAACACAAACTTGTATTTTTTGACAACCAGTACAAAAACTATTTTAAATGAAATTCGTATAAGATTTATTACCCTTTTTTTTTTCTTGGAAACTGTTGACATCTTAATCAAAGATTTTGATCAAGGTTGTTTTCATGGATAAACAAGTCCCTTAAATTTTCATTTACATTTTTATTACTAGTGCATTTTGTCTACAAGTATGACTTTTATACTGAATAATACTGATTCTGATAATATCCTGATAGAGACACTATGTCACTTGTTTGGTGGCTTTTAAGACGGTTTCAGTTTGTCATATGGCTTTTTCTATAAAACCAAGACCAAGGTCTCAAATAGAGGGTGACTAAGCCATGCTAAATGACTTTTTTCAAAGTCTTCCCAGCCTGACTCAACCTTCTTTCCTGGCTTCACCTCCCATTTCTCCTCTTCAGTCTTATCTAACTACTTACTGTACTGATCTGCTGTCATGCTTCTTTTTCTTTGTCATTAATATAACTCTGGCCTGAAATGTTCTGTAAGCCTTTCATTGTCTCACTCATTCTTTGTAGCCTACCCATCTTCACCTAAGGCACCCTTTTCTTCTTAGAGCCATCCCTGATCCAAAGTTGGATTTAGGCTCTTCACCTGCTAAAATCTCATACTATTCTGACTCTTCATTTTTTTATGGCCATTAAAATATTCTCTTTCTATGGCAATCAATAGAAAGATCTCATGTCCTCTATTTAAATTGTAAACTCTGTAATGACAGAGATTAAATTTTAGTTGATATAAGCCTTTCATGAGCCTCACCTAGGCTTTAATGGATAAGGTACTAAGATGTTTGTTAAATGGCCAAATGGGATTAAATCAGTAGATTATACCTAAAACAAAGGTGCTCTTTCCTTCAGCGTGGCAGCCATCTCACACTTAATGGACACTGGTGTTTGTGGAATGAAAGACGGTGGATGGGTGTATGTATGGGCGCAACAGGTGAATGGAAGTGTGCAAGGATGGATGCTAGATGGGATGGTTGGTTAGATGGATGGGTGGATGGGTGCTCTGAATCTAGACTTTAAATGACCACTTAAATTATATGATTTCATGGCACTCGTTTGTTTCTCTTCTCAGCCCTATTGCTCACTACATCTTCACCTGAAGGTCTCTGAGAACCCCTACACCTCTGGGATCATTGCCAGCAAAGACACAGCTCCCAGCATCATAGTGGCATCAGGTAGGAAGCTTGCCCGGTTTGCTTGCTGTTGAAAATGGTGTTTATTTTAAGAAGCTAGATATCTGTGCTTGGAACATAATGAGCAAGCTAAAAATATTTTTGAAAGGCACCTAAGCCATTGGCCCTGAAGGAAGCATGCAGAAAAGTCCCCACTCAGACAGAATGTTTGCAGTCAAAATGCTTCCCAGGCAATGCAGTCCATTGTTAGCTTTTGCAGAAAGTTCTTTTCACTAATGGTGATGTTCTCTCTCTAGGTAACATAGGTTCTGAATTGTCAGACAGTGACATCAGCATGTTTGTCTCTTCAGATGCAGGGAACACTTGGAGGCAGGTAAAAAAATACCCTGGGTCAAGTTGCCCTGAAATCTAGATGGCATGAAAAGTGTCCAATTTGGTTCAGTTCTCAAAACTTACTCAGCAATACTGAACATAAACCCTAAATCCTCTAATATGTTTATTTTCCTTTTTTATGAAAGCCTTAAGTCTTCAAGTTTAGGAAATATTTTATGGTAAAAAATTATTTTTGTATCATTTAATAAAGATGTTATTTGTTCACAGCCTGTATATAAGAATGTTTATAAGTGACAATGAAACTAAATTAAGTCTGACTAAATTTTTTCCTTAAAAGAAAACCAAAATTCCTAAGGGTTTATCATATACAGGGAACATGGAGCCTTAAGGATAAATTGCATACTTAATGCTGAGTTGCAATAAATTCCCCTTGCCTTGAAGTCAGAATAGAGAGAAATGCAGTGATATAGAAATATCCATTACCCAGGTGGTGTTCTGAGATGTTTAAATCTCATGTGCAAAAGACAGAGTAATAACCGTCAGGATGCATATGTTAGAGAAAGTAGAAATGGAATCACTTTAAACCAATGCATTTAGTTTAAATGCTTCCTGCCTTTCTTCTGAATGAAAATTAGATACCCATGGCTTATGAAACAGGCATTTAATGAGGTTTAGCAATCATAACAAGATATGTGCCTAATGCATGGTTGTTACACTTCGATAAATATGTTTTAATAACCCACTGACGTTTAATTATCATACAATAACTTGCACTGTAAATTGAAATCTAATGCACAGGTAATCACACTTAGCAACGAGAGCACTCTGCTTTATATTTTAGACAGAGATGTCCACATTATGGTCCAAGTGTCATTTCTTAGCTTCGGACCCTTTGTTAGGTCCTCAGTGGGATTTTCATATTTTGAAATGAGCAAGGAAGGAAAAAAAAATTGCTTAAGAATACCCAGAGCAATTGATCTTGGAGATATGTAGAAATTTGACATATTCTAAGGAGAGTAGAGAGACAGGATCCCATTTTATTCCTTTCAATGCCCCAAAACAAGGCAAAGAAGTCTCTAATTCTATAGCCATGGGGTGCATCTTAGGTATGAGAAATAAACAAAGGGGAAACAGCTTGTGCCTGTAGTGTAACTCCACACAAGGCTCTCCTAGCAATTTGAGTGAGAAAACAGCATGAATCTTATATAGAGAGCAGTTAGAGACTGTTTCTAGTATATCTCCATTTGACTTCAAATTGGTTTTTCCACAATTGGAGAAAGACCTAATGACACATGTAACCAAAGATGATAATTTCATTTTGATCACAACTACCTATGACGTGGTAGAGAATCTATGAATTAAACAAGAATAACTTTCTTTGATTCCACTTGGAAAATTTGAAACAAGATCTGGAAAGGGCTATGCAATGCAGCAAGTCCCAGCTCCATGAATTACTATATGCATGGCCTTAGGCAAGTCAACACATCTCTCTAAACCTTAATATTCTCATCTATAAAAATGAGAATATTTGAGTAAAACTATCGCTAAGATTCCTTCCATCTATATATATATATATATAATATATGACAGTTACCCAACATTCTGACATCATCATATATGGAAATCAATAGAAATTATCATAAAAATGAAGGAACATAAAACATAATATTCATTTTTAAAATTTCTTTTGGGCAAATATAAAACCATTTTATGTAACACCAATGGTACAAGTAGCCCAGGTTAGGAAGCATTGTTCTAGAACTGTGTTTTCACAAAGATTTAAGGAAACCTATTTCTATCATGGGAGGGATTTTTATCCTCGCATGGAGATTGATTCTCTGGACCCTGGCTATGTGTGCCTATGGGTGTGTGTCCATGTGTATGTGTTTTCCTCATGCAGATCTTTGAAGAAGAGCACAGTGTTTTATACCTGGATCAAGGCGGAGTCCTGGTTGCTATGAAACACACATCTCTCCCAATTCGACATCTTTGGTAAGGGCGCCTGCTGCCTGTGAGTCGTATGCACCTGACAGTTCTGCACTGCTGAGATCAGTGTAGGAGTCAGGCTATCAAACTGTGACTTATTTGTAATGAAATGTCAGCATCTACTAAAGGGGTGGAGGTAGGAAAGGTTGGGGGGGTGCGGAGAAAGAGTGAGAGAGGGAAAGAGAGAGAGAGAGAGAGAGAAGTTTTGTCCCTTTAGAAAGGAATTGCATTATGGCTTTCAATGTGACAACACTCTAACCCCCACTAGTACCTTATTCTCTCAACACCATCACAGGTAGAATAATGTTCGCTACCAGGTATGGTCTCTGAGTATCTTAATTTCTCACAGTCACCTTTTTCAAATAGCATCTCTCGCAGTTTAGTATTTGCATTTATTACATGCATTCTGCAGGGAGTTTAGAAGTTCATGATAATTTTGCTCCTATCTCATCTCTCCTGATCCTACTTCCTTAGTTTCCTTTTTTGAGGTGACATCCTGCAACCAGCTCTGCCTGGGGGTCTTCGCCAGAAAGATGTACAAAGCTTTACTTCTAGAGGGGTTTCCAGTAGGCTCCTTCATGTGGGTGCTTGAAAGTGACTCTCTCCATATGTGAGCTTATCCAAAGTCAACCCCTTGTTCTCCATCCACTGTTAGTTACTTTGATGGTTGAAGGGAAAACTGCAAAAGAGAAACAAAGGCTTAGCGTGGGGAAAGACAGGGCCAAAGAAAAGATCCTGTGTGACTGTCTTAGTTCATTTATTCTGCTGTAACAAAATACCATAAACTGTGTAGCTTATAAGCAACAGAAATTTATTTCTCATAGTTCTGGTGCCCAAGAAGTCCAAGATGAAGGTGCTGGCTTATTTGGTGTCTGGTGAGGACCTGACTTTACGGTTCATAGATGGTGCCTTCTTGCTGTGTCCTCATGTGGTAGAAGAGAAAAGGCAGCTCTCAGAGGCCTCTTTTATAAGGCCACTAATTTCTTTCATGAGGGCTCTACCCTTATCATCTAAACATCTCCCAAAGGCTCTGCCTCCTAATATCGCCACATTGGTGATTAGATTTTCAACATTTGAGTTTGGGGCAGGAGGCAAACATTTCCACCATTGTGGTGACCATCAGAACTGCAGACTTCTCTTGCTCTCAAGAGCCTATCCCTCTTCACCCACCCATTCAATGAGGTCAACCAGGATTTATTACAGCATAAGAAGGGCAGATTTAAGATTTGGCCACTTAGAGATGGGTTGGTTGGAATCTCACTGAGTAAGTCTTGCAAAGTTATATAGCTCTTCAGGATCACCTGTAAGGCTCATTACTAGATATCAATGAGGTTTTGGAGAGGGTCACATTGAAGTCTAAGAGCTAATAAAATATCCAAATTTTTAAAAATTCTATCAAAGACTTACTGTAATTCCCGTGTCATACACCTCTTCAAACACCCTTATCGATGTTTTAACACATATGGGTCCCAATGGCTTAGAGAACTGAACTGTGTTTCTATCTTCTGATGTGATTAAGGACACATTTTTTTTTATTTCAGAATATTATGGGGGTATGAAAGCCTCACTTGGACAGTGTCTTGGCTACTTTTAAAATGGATTCTCTCCTGTGGATAGTATCTTTCCTTTCATTTTTTTTTTTTTCCTTTGAGGTCCAGTGACTCATTTTTTTCTGTCATTAGGTTGAGTTTTGATGAAGGGAGATCTTGGAGCAAATACAGTTTCACATCTATTCCACTTTTTGTGGACGGGGTTCTGGGGGAGCCTGGAGAAGAGACTCTGATCATGACGTAAGTGGAAAACCATCATGTGCTCCAGTCTTAATGTAAGAGAACAAACCCAGAGAGATGGTTTACAGCTAAACCCATGTGATTTGCTGCTGTCAGGTTTGAGGTTTTTTGCAAAGTCAGTGTGTCTCATGGCAAGAGCACCCAGCAGAGAGAAAGGAAAATTGCAGGCAACCATGTTCTTGGTTCTTTGATAGTTTTTAAGAGACCTAGACTGAAGAAGAGTGGCAGAAAAAGGGCAAAACTCTTTTCTTTCTGTATTAAATGGACTTATGGGAATTAGACGTGATTGTTTCAATGGAAAATAAAGTTATACATTTAAGACTTTAATAATAAACAAATGGATAGGCAGAACATCTTAGGCATATAAGAATGATCTCACTTTAAGTCAGAACACAGAGCTTTATCAAAATGCCTCAAAGGATTGTAGTTTTTCCTGGCTCCTTACCTAACCCAATTGTGAGGCACATTAAGAAAACCATGAGAACAATCTGTTCTTGTGAAATTGCATTTACACTCATTTTTGTCTGGAAAGTGATGATCATTAATTTGTGAAAGACTTGATTAATGACTAGACTGCCTAAGGCTTTCAAAACATGGACTTTGAATTTTAAATATGAAACTGTGATATTTCCTTCCTTTAAAAAATTAGACATGGATAACAGAAAAGGAAGGTTTTAAAGTAGTTGATTCTGTCATCAATGAAAATTTCAAAATCAAAGTGAATACTTGGTACATTTTCTAATTCTACCCCCTGCCACCACCATTTTTTTCATTGGTAGAAAACCACAAAGATTTAATATGCCTGATAGGTATACTTGTGCCTATGGCAAACATAACTAAATTAGCAACCTATTTCATAATTTATCTTTATTCAATTTTTATATTTGCAAAATACAAATTTAAAAAATCTGACCCCAAAGGCCACTTTGTGGCTTTTATTCACTCCTACCATTGGTGATTCAACCACCTTATTAAATAGCCGAGTCTCTCTAAGTAAGGAGAATAGAATGCACAATGTAGGAAAACCCTTGTAACTACTTAGCTCTGCTTCCCACCTTCCGTTGGAACTGGTGGGAAGGTAAAATAGCATGGAAACCATGGGAACCATGTACATTAGCAAGAGAACCCAGAAGTCTAATCTTATAACAATGTAGAATACAGCACTTGTGATTGTTTTCTCAAGCGTATTTTTTCAACCCTTCTTGTGATACAACGTATACAAGTGGGCTCTTGTGAGTCAAGCACTCTGGGTTCTGGTTCTACTGGCTCTTAGTGACTTGACTTTGGTTTTTTGCATGCTGACAAAACTCTTTGAGGCTCAAGGCATCCATCTGTGAAGTGGAAGCAGTAATAGTACCCTCCTTAAAAATAAGTTTTGAGGATTAAATGGTATGATCCATGTAATGTGCTTAGCATGCGCCAAGCTCAAGGTAAACACTCCACAATGCTGACTGTTGTTCTTAATGTTGACATTGTTATCCTTGTGATTACTTTTATCATTGTGAACTCCATAGAGTGTTTGGGCACTTCAGCCACCGCTCTGAATGGCAGCTGGTCAAAGTGGACTACAAGTCCATCTTTGACAGACGGTGTGCAGAGGAGGACTACAGACCCTGGCAGCTGCACAGCCAGGTAGGAGGAAGAGAACTGAGACTGATCCTCGGGCAGGAGGCATGGGAGGTGGTGGGGGAAAGCTCATTGCTAAGGAGTAGCAACTGGGGTTCTGTAGGCCAAAATGTCTGTCTGGTGCTTTCTTATATGTTTTGTGTTCCACAGCAGTGAACAAACTCAACATTTATAGCTTGTTGTGAAGTCATTTCTGTTTTTATTGTGCTAGGATATAATGAGATAAAATTCAAATGTGCTTGGCTTAGACTTACAACTCAAAATGAAATACCAACTCAGCACTGAGATCCAAGCATAATTTATCTGAGCATGTCATATGGTTGTGTGGTGGGAGCGGGGGCGAGAAAAAGATCTTCAATTTTATCTAGCAATGCAAACAGAGACATAAAATAACAAAATGATGCCGGGTGAGCAGTGCCAGGAAAATCCTTCTTCCCCATTGCCTTGATTCCCTAGGATTATATAGTGCCTCTTGCCTCCTTCTGAGGTACACAGAGTACAAAAATGCAGAATTGTCAACAGGAAACTTGTCTTGGCTTCTCAATTCTTCTGCTCATCTCAAAATGCTTGGCCGAAAGCATCTTTTCTTTGATTTTTCAAGTAGATGTCATTCTACAGGCCTCTCAAAGGATATGGTGGAAGTGCTTGCTGCAAAGCCATCCCAATATTCAGGCAAAAGAAAAAAATCATATATTCCAAATCTAGACTAAGTAATATATTTGCATATAGATGTGTAAAGAAGGCAGTTAAAGTGAGTTTGCTCATAAAAACAGTATGGAGTGGATTAAACAAAATTCTGTGCTGGTCTTTCTGAAACACAAAAGAAGCTGTGTTTGATAGTGAGTACTGCATTACCTAGAAACACCCACTGTATTCATAGGCTCAGCAATAAAATTATTGCCACTTTCCATTACTGATATTTTTCCCTTTGGGATGCATATGCATCGTGATATTCAAAGCTTTTATTTATTTTGTGGAAAAACACTGAGTTTAGCTCTCTCGGCTGGTAGACGAACGTAAAATCAGTGCTATAAAGTTGTGTGGGCAGAGGCATAATAAATTGGGGCAAAATGAATCTTCATGTTTCTTAGCAATACTCTTCTTTCATATGCTCATAAATGACCAAGTCTATAAATCTTTCATTATAAGAGAATTGAACTTAATTACTACAGATTTGTTGGCAATACACTGGTTGTAGGCTGACTCTTACTCATCCATGTACCCTTCATAGCACTGCACCTAACATCTTGCCAAATACAGGCTTGCTAAATACAGAAGAACTTAAGCATGTTTTTCGACACATACCTCAGTGATTCTTAGAATCACCTCTATAGCCAAATTCTATAATAGGGCTGGGGCTCTAGCATCAAAAAGAAAATGCTGTTAGCACAAAGGGAGCCATCAAAGTCCATATTAGACTAAAGTTTGTGAACATCTCCCTAAACTGCCCTAAAGTGAAACAGGGAAAGTCCAAGCTATGTGCCCACATGTGTGTCATCTTTGTCTCCTGACAGGGGGAAGCATGCATCATGGGAGCAAAAAGGATATATAAGAAGCGAAAATCAGAGCGGAAGTGTATGCAAGGAAAATACGCAGGAGCTATGGAATCTGAACCCTGTGTCTGCACGGAGGCTGATTTTGACTGGTGAGCAACACAGTTATCCCATGGAGTCATTCAGTATATCACATCATCCACATGGCCCTTACTGAAAGCTTAGATTTGAAATAATAGTAACATACATTGAGCTAAGCAGTAAGCCTGTTCCTATAAAATTACCTCTTGAGGCCATCATCATTTACTACCTATGTGCATGGTGTGTATATGGGACAATCAAGTGTTCAATTAGACTTAAAGAGGATTCAGAAGATGACTGGTAATTGTCTTCACATAATTCATGGATTCTTAGGACAAAAAGACCAGATCCAGCCTGTGCTGCTTCAAACAGCAACACTGAAAACAATAAGTGGACTTTTCAGGGCAAATACGTCTGTGCTCTAGATGAAAACTTTCTAGAATCTAGAGTTCCCTGTAATGGAGAAATGGCCCTTAAAGAGAGTAAGTTTTGTGTCCCTGAGAGTTTTCAGTCAGTGGTTAGCTGACCACAGCTTATGAGATCTGTGGAAGACATTCCTCGACTCAGTGCTAGGATGGATGCAGTGGCGTTGCAAGTCCGTAACTCTGGGAACCGTGTGCTAAAGAAACTTCTTGCTTTACTAGAATTAAGCCAGTTTAAAGTGGATAAGTACTGGTTTAAACTAGATAAGTACTGGCACGTGTGGAGGTTAAACTAAACCCAGAGCACTGTAGCGTTCTTCCTGGAACATTTGCTAAGCAGGAAGCTAGCTGTGGAGACAAGTGAAGCTGCCTCTGTCTCATTCTCTGTGTTCAGTGTTCCAGTGAGGTTGACAGATGACTGAAGATGAGTCGGTGGCAACTCCCGTGGTAACTTCCACCTCCCTTCCTAGTGCCTTTCCCCCTCTTCTTTGTTTTTCCTTTCCTTTTTAATTCATTTATATGTTTTTACTTTAGAGGAAGCAATCCCTAAATATGTGTGTACATGTTAAAGAATTAAAACTTGACTTACATAAGAATGAAAGTCATTCTTTAATAATTTATTTCTAGCTATGGGTCACATAACTAATCACCAGAATATGAGTGAGTGGGCTGAGATACTGGGTACATGCACATCACCCATCTTAGCCAAAGTGAGCCTTTCTTCAAGGCAGATCCCCGGAGATGGTCTCTGTATAAACAGTAGTGGGAAGGCCTGGCAAAATTGGCTCCCAGCAGTCAGAGCGATAGCCCACGGCTGTTTCCCCTTTGTCCTGTGGGCAAGCCAAGCTGAGAGCCCGTGCCTATCCCTCTGGGTTCAGCCAGAGGGAAACAGCGTTGCAGTTATATTGGAGCTCACTGAGAATTCTGGAGGGGCCTCCCAAAGTGCGACTTCTGTTTCAGTCAGTGCAACATCACTCTATTACAATGACAAAAATATTTTATCTCTGTTCTACTCTTCGGGACTGACACCCTGAAATATGTTCACCGGGAAAGCTACCATGAGATTTCAAGTCATTCATCACATCCCTCTTTCTGAAGCCTGACTGCTGCTGCCTCTCTTTCAAGGAAGATTTGCAGAGCAAGTTAGCATTTTACATTAGTGGTTTAGCTTTGGCCTTATGAAATAGCCATGCTTTTGCAGAGAACAAATTTATTCTTTGATAGAAAACCAAAGAGAAAAAGTGAAGTGAGATATCCCAATTTCCCGATTTCTCCTGGAAACATTTACTTCTTTTTGAACCTTTCTACAAGGTTGAAGATACAAAAAAAGCTAGTGTTTTGTTATCATCGTCATGGTGGTGGTTGTTTTTCTTTTTCAATTGTCAGCTAATCCAGAGTGAAGGAAACAAAGAATAAAGAAAACAGTTAGGCTTCTCCTTTCCCATCCTTCTCACCCCTCAGTCTTGGCCCAATCCTGCATTCATTTGCAATTGGAATCTGCTACTCCTCCCACCAAGTGAAATGCATCCTGAGAAGTGGGAAATTAACCCTGAACGAGGCCATTGTGAGATTTTCTGGTCAAATGGGATATTTCGTAGCTGCATGATTTCTGAAACTACTGTGGAAGGCTCATCGTGACCTTGTTAGGTTTCTACCAGTAGCTAGAGTTTCGGTGATTCCACCTGGCTGTATGTAATGAAAGACAATTGTCACTGAATGTTCCCTGTTGGCTTGGCTCTCCCCTGGACCATCCCCCAGATGACCTTGCCTGTCATTCTCCAACATTTGTAAAGGAATTCCCTAAAGTGAACACTGGGTGTCCTGTAAGCAGCAATTATGAAGTCTTCCTACCCATGCTGTGTTGAACCAGCACCAAATCCAGCTAGTATGTGCAAAATTCTAAGTACCAGCTGCCTGGTGGCAGGCCCCTGAGCTGAGCCTGTTTCTCCCTTCCAGAGCTCGCGTGCCAGCATCTCACCTCCATTACACAGATGGGCCAATTCATACTAACGCTTCATCGCTGCCTGCGATTTGTCTGTGCATGTGGAGGTGCAATTTGTCGTCATTCTCTGTGCCCCGGTTCATCTGCCAGAAGCCAAATATATCAGCCTATCAGGCAACTCAGAGGTCCCTGGAGGCAAGAAGGAAAGGAGGCTGAGAAATTTCCAAAGTAGACAGAAGATTTAAAACAGTTAGTCCCCACTGACAGCACTAACTGCCTAGGACAAAACTTTCCCTTAGGGGAATGCTCGAGACACTCCTGAAGGACATTTCTTTTTTGGCTGTGACTTTGAAGCATATGGCTTGTGCACAGAGGGACCTGGCTCAGCTCTGCTTGGTAGATCCAGATGTCTTGGAAGAGCATCCCAAAGACATCACCAGTAATGAGTACTGTGCCACTTGTGGCTGTGTTAAACTCTGCTTTGGAGCTGTCACTGAGAGTTGAGCTCCCACCATGTCCTGTTGTTTTCTCATTACGGCGTTCCCTGGGCCCAAGCACATTAGCATTGTGTATCCTTCTAATGAGAACATAATCTACTCTCTCAGGTCAAAGGGGTTTAAATGGCATTGTTGGTTCTGCAGGATATTTTCATGAATAATTGATTGATATTCTATGAGAAAAAAAGTTATATTGTTGAGAAGGCATTGATCCAGGGAATGTTTGTATTTCGACTAATTGGATAGAGTAGAAGTTGGCTGTGGACTACCATGGAATTTTTTTCTGTCATTTTGCCACCTACTGAAAGGTTTTTCTCTGCTCTTTCCCCAACAGCGACTACGGTTATGAGCGGCACAGCAATGGCCAGTGTCTGCCGGCATTTTGGTTCAATCCATCCTCTCTGTCAAAGGATTGCAGCTTGGGACAGAGTTACCTCAATAGTACTGGGTGAGTGTCAGAGGTGGTGACCTGAGAGGCCAGCCTTTGCTGCTCTCGAACATGTGTTATTCTGACAGAATTGCTTCTGATCCATGGCCAGGCTTATTTCCTTATAGCACTGTGTAATTGCTTTTGTTCATTTTAATAATGCAGCACAACTTTTCACTAATTGTGCAAGTTTCATCTGAGGATAAGACACCAGTTGGAAATAAAGAAATGAAATATGTATGTTCCTTAGTTGAAGATGACGATGATGATATTAATATATATGTTTTTTCATTTTTTGGATACATTTATTTCTAAACTACTTAATCGTGTGAGGTCAGCTTTAACCCTCACTGCATCCCTGGTGAGGAAGGCCAAATAGATCTTTCATGTGTGCATGTCCGGTTTTATAGATGTGGAGCCTGGAGTCAGAAAGGGAGCTCATTGACTTTTCAGGAGTATACTACTGTAATAAGAATGTGTTTCACTTTCTCTCTTGACACATTTAAAGCATGCATTCTGATCTTTATAAACCTGGAATCAGATTCTAAAATTTAGTGTTCAGTATTCTGTGTCGTGGGGCTTATTCAATATTATTTAAGAAATAAAAATAAAAGGAAAAAAATTTCATGACTTTGCCACAAATGTCATTGATATTTATAAACTTAAAAATAGCATGTAGAACTTATTTAAATTCTGATGCAAACAAATAATCCGTAAAAAGATATTTTTGAGCTATTGGGGGAAATTGAATATACATTTGTTCAGGTGATACATTAGTCTGGGCTCTTCAGTGAAGCAGAACCAATAGGATGTGTTAATATATTTCTATAGAAAGAGATACAAGGAATTGGCTCATTCCATTATGGAGTCAGGTAAGTCCCACGATCTGCAAAGTGAGTGAGTGAGCTGGAGAACCAGGAGAGCTGACAGTTTAGTTCTAGTTTGAGCTGAAGGCCTGAGAACCATGGAGCCAATGGTGTGGTTCCTGTCCAAAAGCCGGGAGACTTGAGAACCAGGAAGAGCCAGTGTTTCAGTTCAAGCCCAAAGGGAGGGGGCGAGGGGGAGCCAGTGTCCCAATTTGAATGCCAACAGACATAAGGAATTCTCTCTTACTTAGGGGGACTGTTAGTTAAACTGTTAGCCTTTTGTTCTATTCAGGCCTTTAATTGGTTGAGGCTCACCCACACTAGGGAAGGCAATTTAAGTCTACTGACTTAAATGTTAATCACATTTAAAAATACCTTCACAGAAACACCCAGAATAACTTTTGACCAAATATCTGGCCACTCCATGGCCCAGTAAAGTTGAAACATCAATTAACCACCCCATGTGATATTAAGGTGTTATAGTTATGTATTTAGGTATCATAAAGACATTTTGGTTAGGCTAAGAAAAAAAGCAGCCTTGTTTTTAGAGATACATATTGTCTGAGTTTTATTTTAAAGTATTATAAAAGGGATAGATATTGATCATTTTTGGAGAGGAGTGAATAGGCACATGGAGGTGTATTCTACTATTTTTTTGTATTTGTGCATATATGAAAATTCTGATATTAAAACTTTAAAAAGAAAGAAAGAAAAAGGAAAGAAGAAGGTGATGGAGGTGGGAACCTTACCAATAAGCCAGTTCTACTTGGCAAAGCCTCTTATCGTTGCTCATGCCTGCTTTAGTAAGGATAATCTACTTGAGAAGGTGAAACTTCCATTTACATATTCTGTGTTTGAAAATTTTAAATATGTTTCATTATGAAAAAGATTACCAAAAATAATGTATGCTATTCTTTTAAAGGCAGGAAAAGACATAGAAAGAAACTTCATCTATTTCTGATGTTAGTGATTCCTAGAATCTTTGAATGAAGGAATGAGATGTAATTTATTGAATGCTAACACAAAATCTTGAGAAAATACAAATAATACTTTACAGCAATGAATCAGTGAGATCTTCAGCATAATACCAGGGGAAAAGAAATTGAAAAGGGCTTGTAAAATAACTAAACTTAGTGGAGAGGGAATGCCAAAGACCAGAGTTTTATTACCTGTAGGTACCAGCCTGTTTAGACATTGTAAAGGTACCACTGGAAACCCTTCAAGCTAATTTAAGAATTGATTTTTTTTTTTTTTTAACTAACTCAATCACTCAGGAAAGTGATATTAGTCTCTCTTTGGTATAGATGAGAAAGGGCTGAGGCACAGAAGGGTCACAGTTGTTCCAGATGCTACACAAATCATTGGAATAAGGCAGAATGAAGGCCCATGACCTGTAACTTTCCAGTTTATTGGGATATTATAAATACTGACTAATATAAAACATCAGAGATGAATAAATTATAATTTTCTATTAAAAAAGGATTTATTGTCTATGCCCTATAAAATTAAAAGTATAATTTCAGCTAAAAAATATGATTTAGGAACAAGTGTTCAGGCATGCAAATGTGTATCCATGCAGTTATTATGGTTAGTAGTCACAAAATTACAACACTACCTTCTAGGAATCCACCTTCACTCTGGGGGTTTGCTTATATCAGAGGGTATTACATGGTTACATCTGACCCAAAATGATTCTTATTAAGTTGCCACATCCTCTACTTCATCTATTTCATTCAAACATTTTGCAGAAAAGCATTAGCATTGGTGACCAGGCTTGTGCACAGAACATATGATAAATCCCAGCCATAAGCAGGAATGTCAAATGTTCTCCTCTCATAAGTAAGGTGCTCATAGGTGAAGGAGTGACCACTTGAAGAGGACCTAACAGGCTAAAGTCAGGGGGAAAGGTATCAATATAACCCCACTGATCAGCTTATTATCTAAACTGTACATTTTGCATTAAGAGCAAAAAACTTTTAGCTGGGACAAGAGCCTAAAATCATCTTCCAAGAAAGCCTCACACTATTGAATTCCCCTTTGCAGCTTCTGTAGCCAACTCAAGAGTTGGCAAGGAGTAAAATGTAGGTGAAATTTTAAAAGAATTTTCTGCTTTTCTGAATGTCACTCCAGCCCCTCACCCTAGATGTCACTTTGCTATATATAATTACAAATGACATATATAGATATATTCTATATGTTTAAAAATCCAATTTAGATCAGTTCTGGCCCCCTTTTTCATACAACTATGATTTGTTTGGTATGCATGATGCCAAACACTTTGCTTTGCATTTGACAGTGAATAATTGTGTGAAGAGAAAATATGTAAAAGTAATTTGAGAAGATATATATATATATATAATTTCCTACTAAGTATATTGTTCCTGTATTTGCTTTTTTCATTCAAAAATGCATCTCAAACATGTTTACAAGTTAGAATATATAGGGCTACTTTTCATCTCATTTCTTTAATTCTATAACATTACCTATTACAGGATATTTAGTTATTCCCTTTCATTGACATTTGGGTTATTTTTGTTTTGTTTTGTTTTTTTTTGCCACCATAAACAGTGCTGCAATTAACATTCTCGTACTGTAATGATTGTTACAGGAAAGCATATAAAGATAATTAGTCTCTTTTGGCAATTGGAGGTATTTCTGCTCGCTCGCAAAGCAAATTTCATGCAGCCAACTGGTTACGTCTCAGACTTGATTATCAGGCATTGCCAAATATCTCCCCCATAAGGGTTAAAACTCTAGCTTCCTGCTCACCTGCTGTCTGTGAATCCCACAAAAGTGGAGATTCATTTGTATTAACTGCTGTCCTCTAAAATTCAAATGCCAGTAGGTTCTGCAAAGGAAAGCTGGCGGAGGGGGGAGTAGGACTTTGCTAAATTAATAAGGTGAGGGAGGTCACTTCATGCACAAAGAACAAGAAGTGACCCTGGAAAGGGCCACACTGGTAGTTTTGTCAAGACAAGCCGTGATGCTAGTGCCTGGAAGCCGATAGAGTTAAATAGCCACTCTGCACCCTATGTTTCCAATGCCAATTTGAAGCCTGTCATGGACATGTCATGCTCAGTCAGCACAGAATCTGTGTTAGCCTCAGGGCTAGGATGAAGTGCAGAGGAATCACAAGCGCAGGGTTGGCCTGACAGTGAAAGCGTCCACAAATGGTGCTCCTGGGCACTTCAGTATCCCTCACAGCATAGCACATCGTGCAGACATGCAGTCACAGCGAGAATTGAGTAGGGTCCACTAAAAAGCCATCCCTTGTCAGTCAAGGTTAACGAGCAAATCTCCAAACATCACTATATATATGTGTGTGTGTGTGTGTGTGTGTGTGTGTGTGTGTGTGTGTGTGTGTCTATGTGTGCATGTGTGTATATACATATATATAAATGTATGTATATATTTTACTTTCTTAAATGCCTCACTTCGTAAATGGATATGGTTGCTTTCACAGTCAGCTTATCACGTGTGTTAAGTGATATAGCAGTGCTCTCAGATTCACCCACTTCTCCATGATGGAAAAATCTTAGCATTGGTTATGATTGTGCCCAGGAGAAATGCTGTTTTGAGGACATGCCAACATTTTTATCAGATTCATTGTGTAGAAGTGAATGGTTACACAAATTTTGTTTTAGTTCTTAGAAAAGTTGGGTGGAACAAGAAGTGAAGTGGGTGCAGAATGCCCCTCCAGGTAGCTGTAACCATTGGTTTTGCTGCTTGGTCCACTCGTGTTAGGGTTTCTAATGTCCACACCATCAGGCCACATATGAGCAAAGTCCTGCTGTGTTTTTCACTGTTGGCTCCCTTTTTCTTTTCACCCTGGGCCCTCAAAACTTCTGCAAGCCATTTGATATCCAGATGGAAAACAAGAGGCTGGTAATTGGGCCTCAGCCTATTATGGATTGAGGGTGAAATATAATGGAGGATGTTTTGTTTGGTGAAAAAAAGAGTAAGTTTTTGAGTTTCACAATTAACGGTTTCCAATCCAATTTCTGCAATTTACTGTTATCTTTAACAAGTGACTTTGTTTCTTTGAGCCTTAGTTCCTTAACCTATAAAATTTTTGCTATTTGCCTTCAGGGTTTGATTAAATGTGATACATTATATAAAGCATGTGGCACAATGCCTAGCACACAGTAATCACTT